TAATTTTGATCCTGGATCATCTATGTTCTAGGTTCCATAGAATTACAGAAATATAATTCTGTAAAAGACCATAAGGGCATCAAGTCCAACTGTCTAATGAAGTAGGAAATCCATAGCTAAAGCATCACTAAGAGGTGGCTTAAAAACAACCAATGAAATGAAGTCCACCACCCTCTAAGGCAGTCCATTCCATTGTCAAACATCTCTTACTATCAAGAAGTTCTTCCTAATGTTAAGGTGAAATCTTCTTTCTCATAATTTGAATCCATTACTTGGGGTCCTAGCCTCTGGAACTACAGGAGGCAAAGCTGCTGCATCTTTTAAATGGAATTATTGTGCTCTGTTGCTTTTAAATGTGTAAATCGTATTGATTTTTTTATTGTTTTTAATATACTTGTTTAATTTTTTTAAAAAAAATTATACATAATGTTTTTAGCTTTTAAATATTGTCCTTTTAATAATGAAAGCCATCTTGGGTCTTTAAAGGAGAAAGGCAGGCTAAAACTATTTTAAATAAAATAAATCAAAAAACAAACCTTTCTTATAACAATCCAAATATTTGAAGATGGCTATCATTATCCCCTTCATGGATTGCTGCCCTTTCCTGGCAAAGGGGCTTGAGTAATTTAGAGAAACTATGTGCTATGCCGTGCAGGGACACCCAAGATGAACAGGTCATAGTGGAGAGTTCCGACTAAACGCAATCCCCCTGGAGTACAAATTGGCAAAACACTCCAGTACCTTTGCCAAGAAAACTCCATGGGCAGAAACAAAAGGCCAAAAGTCAAAATACTACAACAAGATCCATTTTCCTGGACAATCCATCTGGGCATGTTTGTCCTCTCCCACAATCCTTTCCTTATCTGGCCTTTAAGGCTAGCATCCTCTATAGTTCTTATCCATACATGCTCTTCATAGTCAACCTCCCTTTTATCTTTTGGCCTTGATGTCTTGGTACACAGGCCTAAATGCTCCCTCCACCCTTTCAGTACTATGCTTCTTAGAATCTCCTCTACCATTATCCTTTTTCTCTTGCCACTCCATATACCTGAAACCAGCTCCTGTAACAGTTGTTGTCGTTTAGTCATTTAGTCGTGTCCGACTCTTCGTCGCCCCATGGACCAGAGCACGCCAGGCCTTCCTATCTTCCACTGCTTCCCATAGTTGTGTCAAATTCATCTTGGTTGCTTCGATGACACTGTCTAGCCATCTCATCCTCTGTCATCCCCTTCTCCTCTTGCCATCACATTTTCCTAACATCAAGGTCTTTTCCAGTAGTAGGGTAATAGTAGCTTTATTCAAACTCAAATTTGACAGGTGCCACGCCCCCTTTTGGACCCCTGCAGCGGAAGGGGAGGGACTTCCGGCGTCCACGCTCGACCCAGGCCCCTTCCGGCGGAAGGGGCTGGTCGAGCGGTGACGTCGGGGGTTGTGGGGGTCACCGTGGGCCTATAGGTGTCTTTTCCTAGAGTCTGGGGTCCCCCGTGACCCTAGGGTAGCCTGAGGATTGGTCCCCGAGGGGTTGTGCCCCCCCACGGCCCCTGTGGACCAATGGGGAGCGGGTGGAGGGGGTTTGGCTAGAAAGGTTGGCCCTAGGGCATGCCTCAGCATGCCCTAGGCCCTGCAAGGGTGGGAAAGTCCCGGGGATTTGCAGAGAAGCTATAAACGTGGTTCGGTACCCTTCTGCGGCTCTTTGCAAAGGTCTTGTGGCATTGGAGACATGGCGGAGAAGGAGAACAAAGCTCCTTTCCTCCCAAGAAGCAGGCGTCTTTTAATTCCGTGGCTGCTGTCTCCATCTGCAGTGATCATGGAGCCCAAGAAAGTAAAATCTGTCACTGCCTCCATATCTTCCCCTTCAATTTCCCAGGAGGTGATGGGACCAGTGGCCATGATCTTAGTTTTTTGGATGTTGAGTTTCAGGCTGTTTTTTGCACTCTCCTCTTTCACCCTCATTAAGAGGTTCTTTAATTCCTCCTCACTTTCTGCCATCAGAGTGGTATCATCTGCATATCGGAGGTTGTTGATATTTCTTCCTTTAACAGTGATGGGCTGTAATTCTCCCCAATTTTTAAATGTCTCTTAAAAATATATCTGCTTTCCAAGGTTTTGCGGTTTCTTCAGTTTTTATAATTTATAATGTCTGCTATGTTTCATTTTCTTGAAATATGTATTATTATTGATCATTTATTGTACTGGGTTTTTCCCCTCTCTACTTATTGTTTTACACAGTACAGTACTCTTCTCCAGGTAGAATTTTGCATTTTCATTTTTGTATAGAACCATTGCTGGTATTATATAAATAAGTGATTATATATTCATAATAACAGTAAAGAGAAGGGGGAAAAGAAGTAAGAAGTACACCAGTTTGTTTCAAGTACTGTTTTTCCCTATGAAAATTATGGGCAAAAGACTGGGGCCATGATGAGGGCATAAGGTTGAAGCTCCATCCCACCCCCTGGCATAGTTTTTTGCCCACCACAGAAATAGCATGCAAGGGAGGAGATGGCCAAATATTTCAAGCTCATCTCACAGGTATACCCCAGTGTCAGAATACATATTGAATACTGACTTTGAAAAGCAAATTGTTACTTGTTCAGAGAAAGTAATATTTTCTATCTGTGGGAGGTCTGGCATTTTCCCCTGAAGGATAAGAAATGTGAATTCAGTATTCTAAATTTCAGTCTTATACATTTGCTAAGGGAAAAAAAAAACTCAGAATGAGCTTAACTCTCTCCTAACATCCTTTCCACACCCTTGACTTTGCAAGATCTGAGCAGGGCTGTTAATAATAGAGCAATCATTCATAAGGTCACCATAAGTCTGAAGTAACCTGACATAACAGCAGCAACTTTCTTCTCATGCTACAAAGCAATGAGCAAAGTCTGAGATCAGGCAGAAATAACCTATGGTAAAGTATCTTCCTATGCCAGAGTGTTGTAGTGATGGGAAATGCACTTGGGAGCTCAGAGGAGGCATGCCATCATCAAAGTTGGAGATAACTACTTACAAATAAGAAAGTTACTTGCGATTACTTTCTTCCCTGATGCTAAAAGTATAACTGCATTATATTATGATTATAACTTAATGAGAGATTAGTCCTTCAGTACTGTGAGTTTTAAAGTTGCTTATATGGTTGTGGAGATTTGGCCTCACTAAGTTGTGAAGAATATCATGTAGTGCTTTGTTCTATGTGCAGTGGGAATGATATGTTCAATGGGAGGAAAGTGTGTTTTGGAACCTATGGACTGAAATTCTGTTGCTTTGTTACACATGGAAAAGGCCAATAGTGTATCATTCAGTTGCATCTAGTTGGCACTTGGTGTGATCATCAAAATCTCAGTGAGGATTCTTTCTTTGCTAGCTAGAAGCAACTGAATGTTATGCCATTTGCCTTCCACGTGTGTAACAAAGCAACAGAATCTCAGACAGGCCTGTAGGCTGCACTATTCAGTTTTGAAAGTAACCAGAGGTAATTACTTCTGAGAAACAGGGTAAGTCAAATGTAACTTTTAAAACTGAAACTATAGCACTGTTTTTGGAACTGCGAGTGTAGCTAAGTGATTTTTAATAGTAATTTGCTAAGACTGGACATTTGCCAGAGAGCTAGGGTAACTCTTTGCTCTTAAAACTGATAAGAAGTACTATTTTTGTGACAGCAGCATAGAAGTCCATGGATTTAAAAAATAATAAACCAGAAATGAGCTTTTATTTTTATATTGTTTTGATGTTTAAATTGTCTTTGACCTTCCATTGAGCTTTTCAGATGCACTTATTTTTAAAAATATAAATGAATATAATTTGGTTTTAAACAAACAATTTTTGTGTGCATGCACGTGACTACGGATTCTCTCTGAGTGCATGGTTGTGGGAAATACTGTATCAACTGCCCTGCATCAGTGTTGTATTGTTCTAGTACTGACTAGCCCAAATTCTCTCAGGTGACTTTAGTACATGGAAAGCTTACAGCTAAGCACAGAACACCACTCCTATAGTTCCCAAATCACAAGACAAAATACTGAACCCAGCCCTCTATTATGCTTAAAAGCAAGGAATATAAATAAGGCTACATTCACTAACCAACAGGATGAAGTAATGCATTTGCATTTGCCATCTGTCCCTTAACCACCAAGTCATATTAGTCACAATTTTGAATTTCTTGCTTGCCCCCAAGTGGTTTCATATTTTCAATTTAGCTGCAGACTTAATTATTTCAACATATCTTTCATGTAATTGAACATATCCTTTGCATTAGAGAGAACCATTGTTAATTTTTGTTTTTATTTTAGCAGCAATAAGAAATGATCTAATATTGACATAGATATATCCAAATTGAATATAACAATGCAAGAACCATTTGCAGCAGAGGGACCTTTGGGCAAAACACACACACACACCTCATAACACACAATCCCCAGCTCCAATGTAAGTTTGTTCACAATTTGAAAAATGTATCTTTTTCAAAACTAAAAGACCCACATTCAATTGGCCATGCTATTGGGGGATTCTGGAAGCTATATTCCAAAAAAGTAACTTTTTTTGTTTTTATTTGCTATATTTTTTTTAAAAAAATACCGAGTAGCTGCATAATCATACAGAAACCAAATTCAGTGTTGAATTTGTACAAAGGGGGCTCACAATGAAAGCAGCCACCTTTAGATCTTTGTAATAAAGGGAATAATCCCTCCAAGAAGTAATATTTGCTGCAACACATCGGACTATTTTTATGTACCTAAAATAATCCTGGGCCTTACAGTGACTCCTAGCCATTTCTTATAGTCACTCGCTCCTCTCCAATGTGCAAACAATTGCACAAAGAGCACAGCCCTGGAAGGAGAACAGAGCCCCAGAAGTCACTCCTTCTCACCCTTCCACAATTCCTAGCATCTTTTATTTCAGGTTCTACAGACTGCAGATGGTGTAATATGTCCTTGTGGTTAAAGATAGATAAACAAATGAACCAGTCTTCATTGTGGAAAATATAATGTAATGCATTACAGTACCTGTATAGGCAAACTGAACAAGATCCCAGAGTGCACTTGGGTCAATGCCTTCCATTTTGATTTCCTCTTGCTTGGCTTCACAAACATCACTTGTAAACATGGCAGCAAAGTAATCAGAAACGGAACTGAGAACAAGTCTGAAGGAAAAGAGATCACATATATATCCATTAATCTATTATATTTCACCTTATCACTGAACTGTACAGTTCTCAGTGTACTCTGCTAGAAGAAAACTGTTATGGTTTTAAGCACTTTTGAGATACATATGAAGCATGGCCATAAAGATCAAGAACACATTATTATTTCAAATACTGATATGAATCAAATTGTTATCCTTGCACTGTTACCTGAGATACAGCTTATTGAACACAGAAGGACTTGTTTCCAAGTAAGATAACTTAAAACAATAAGACAAATGAACAAAAGGTTATCATTAAAACTCCAGCACTGATTTCCATTGAATAGAAATATTTTTGGAAGTTAACAGTCCACTTTATCTGATGACACCATCTAGTTTCATGTAGGCTATCCATGTAGGGTTCACGTAGATGCAGGGAGCCACTTGAATGCAAGTTATTTAAAGTCCTATTCCATCCCCAGTTTCATTTTATAATACAGCAGTACCTTGCTTTACGAAAGCCTTGGTTTACATAATTTTCGGTTTATCAACCAAAATCCATAAAAAACAGTGCCCCAGTTTATGTTCTTTTTCTTTTTTTTCTACTGTACAAAAAGGTTTCCCCCAGGACGCATTGCACTTGGAGGTTTCTAGCACCGCCCCCATTCGTAGCATAAGCTGTGTATCGGTTTACGACATTTCCGCATGATGTCCCAGAGGACGCATTAATTTCATAAACTAAGGTACACCTGTATTTAAGTTTCAAAATTCAAAACACATGAGAACATTTAAGCAACTTACCACAATTTTAAACATTGAATCAGGCACATTACAAAAAACTTTACAACTCATTCGAGCTAAGATCATTAAATTGCAAATGTCATGTATTAACTGTATGCCAAAATGAAATCAATATTAGTGCCAGTTAGGCCTCTAAGCCAAGGTGCTACAGCCAAGAATGTTCTCCTGTCTGATTCTGCATGGCACATAGTTCTCATCAGAGGGACATGAGGGAGCCCCTGTCCACAACAAGTCTTCATTTATTTAATTTCATTTATTTAAAATATTTGTACCCACCTTTCTCCTTTAAAAAAGGGGTATAAATCTAATAAATAAATCTAATAAATAAATAAGGACAGCAAAGATGGGGCCAGCCTAGTCTCCTGTGGGAGGGAGTTCCAAAGTATGGGAGAAGAAGTAGAGAAGGCCCTCTTAGTACTTGAGCAGGCTCATAAAGGGAGATGTCCTTGAGATAGCTTGGGCGCAAGATGTTTAAGGCTTTATAGGTTACAAAACAACACCTTGAATTCAGCTCAAAAACAGAGCAGCAGCCAGTGGAGCTGCTGTAACAAGAGGGCCAGACTGTTATGTGATCCCTGTAACCAGTCCCAGTCAGCAATCTGGATGCTGCATTTTTGACCCATTGAAGTTTCCTGACAACTTTCCATTGACAGCATCACATAGAGTGCATTACAGTAATCCATCGGGGATGTAACTAAGGCATGTGTCACCATGGAAAAATCAGATCCCTCCAGGAATGAGGGCAGCCACCACACTAGTCTTAATAGTGCAAAGCCACTCCTGGCCACCACTAAAACCTGGGCATCCAGGCTCAGAAACAAATCCAGGAGCTTCCCCCACCCGCACACCTTACAAGGCATCAGAACCTTCTTGTATTGCTAGAGAAATCCTCTTGCTAATTTACTCTTTATTGCCCCAGATACTAAACCTCTTTGCTTTCTTTCTCCTGCATTTCTGGAGCTTAAGCTCAATATGAGATGGCTTTAACTTTAGTCTTAAACTGCCAGGTCTTTTCACCATTTAATTTCTCTATTTTTCACAAAAATAATCTAGCATTACAGTGCTGACAACCAGCTGTCTGCCCTACCCTTTCCACTGAGAAAATCATGTCAAATCTTCTTTCTTCCATCTCTGAAAATCTCACTTGGAATTGCAGGCACTATATGGATATTCTCATCTACTGAAGTAACACTATTGGAGGTACTTTCTCATTGATACTGACACTTGGAAAGAGTTCAGGAAAGAGACCCCTGTGGATACCAGATTCTTGAGAACTTGAAGATTAATACACTTAATGCCAGTATGTCTTCCTTACCAAGAGCAATATGGGCAAGTCAGCTAAACAAAAATACAGTGGTGCCCCGCAAGACGGGCGCTCCATTTGACGACGAAATCGCATCACGACAAACTTTTTGTGATTGCAAAACGATGTTCCCTATGAGGGAATTTCGCTTTGCGATGATCGGTTCCCTGCTTCGGGAACTGATCATCACAAAGCGATGATTTTTTAACAGCTGATCGACAGTTTCAAAATGGCCACCGGGTAAACAAAATGGCCACCCACTGTGTTTTCGCATGGATTCCTCGCTGCACAGGCAGCGAAAATGGAGGATCTTTGCTGGACGGTGAGTTTGAAGACCCTAAGAATGCACTGATCTGGTTTTAATGCGTTTCTATGGACTTTTAAAAATCGCATCATGATGTTTTCGTTCTACAGCGATTTCACTGGAATAAATTAACGTCGTGATGCAAGGAACCACTGTATAGGTGGCATGTGCCAGATGGATCTGGAACTTCAAGTTATGTTGACAGGGAGGTGAATATTTGTTAGATCAATACCTTCAGATGAGTATGTTAGTGCTGGATCAAGACTCACAGGTAAGTATATGTTCATTCAGAACCTCAAAATAAAGAAGCATTCAGTACACCCTTTACCACTCAGCCAGTATTTCCCTGCTGCTGTTTGTGGAGAAATTAATTTTCCCTGTCTACCAGAAGTGATTTTTAACATATTACACTTCCTCCCCCCCAGTAGTGGTAATCATTAAAGTGAGATTTTCTCGGTGGCAATCATTAGTGGTAATCATTAAAGTGAGATTTTCTCTCACTTCATTGATGTGGCAAATCCCACTCTTAAGGGGAAGCAAACAACTAAGTGAGGGTTAGGCATCAGCCTAACTATTTGCCTTACAAATTTCCTGAATTATAATATTTCAAGTTTAGTATTCTTAGTCCATCTCTGTTACAGAAAATAGAAAATGAAATTATACTACATTTAGGCTTATTAATAAACTGAAAAGGATATTCTTGTTAAAATTGGCAAATGGCTCACCAACAAAAGCAAATAGTAAACAAGAAAATGGGCAACCCTACTTAGGCCTTGTTTACATGGGTTCATTTGGAGTAGGCTTATGTGGACTAAATAGGTTCACTTACCAATTTCCAAGGAGGGAAACTAAAATTTCCCTGATAAAGCTCCTGGTCAACTGGCTCTTTATGGATGATCCATAGATTTGTGTCCTTTCCACATCTGACAAGGAATTTATTTATGGTCTCAGAAGACATTGTGCCTTGTTATATTTATCTTAAATCTTCATTCCTGGATACCTGGATGCATTAATCTTGTCTTAATAGTTCAAACATGAATCCTTTTCTTCTTTAAAACATTTTATTTAGCAAGCAAGCAACTGAGTAACTAAAAGCCAAAATATAAAATGTACCTGGGATATACGTAAAATTACATGAGTATATATTTTCAAAAATCACAGTTTTCCTATTACATATTTCTCTATTTCATATATGCAAATAATATTTTTTTCTATGTTAAAAAAACTTGGTTCTATAAAAACAAGAGCTTCTGTTTAGGCATCTTATAGGTGAAGCCTAGTGTCAGAATATGTTATACCTTGTTGTGTTTGTTTTACATCTTAATTCCTGGATACTTTGTAATAATTTTGTATAAACAGTTCCAAAATGAATAATTTTCTTCTTTTAAAATGTTTATTTAACAAGGAAGCAACTGAGTAACTAAAACCCAAAAATATAAAATATACCTAGAATATAGGCAAAAATTACATGAGTATATACTTTCAAAATCACAACCTTCTATTACATATTTCTCTACTTTATATGCGGAAATAATACTTTTTCTATGTTAGAAAAGTAACCTTGGTTCTATTAAAATAAGAGTTTCAGTTTAGGTATCATATCGGTGAAGCCTAGCAACTTAAAAATACAAAGCAAACACATTTTCTGTAATAAAATACTATTTCTTAGATAACTCTCATTTAGTCACTTAAAAACAAACTTATTATTATACAAATTGTTATTAAGCAATTCTATCAAAGCATAAGCAAGAATATTTCCATTAGATATTTCTCACCCAATTTTTGGGGGGTTTCCTGTGGGTAAGCAAGGCCAACTTGTTTACACAGTTGGAACTTGACTCAGCTGGGTCATGAACCAGGCACCAGCCAAAATGTGGCTGGTGGCAGGCTTTTTAATAGCTTCCTTAATATATTTTGGGGCAGTATAATAAATTTTGAATGCAAACATCCTACATTTTATATGTTCTCTACTTCCCAATCAAACTCCATATTTGATTTTTCTCAAAACCTATTATTGACACACTTAAGGTCAGGTAGAAATCCAACATGTCATTTTTAACGCTTCTTCTTAAAAGTGTATTAGGGCAGTGCATATGCATTGCATCACTTTAAAACAATAAAAGAGAAAAGGAAAACTTCCTCCTAGAATCAGGAGGAGACAGGAGGGAGCAACAAGGGGGATTTTTGTTTCCCATTTCTCTCTTATCCTGAAGTAGTCCTTTTTTCAAGCTACTCCACAATATTGACAAATGGACAGTGAGCTGGTGTATATCAAATAGGGTTGTTTGAGATCCATACACATTTGGATGCTCACTTTACTTTGTGTCCAGCAATTGCACATGCTGGATATGAACAAAACCAGAGCAATCCTACCCACACCAAGAAAGTAGAAGCCCTTGACAGGGGCCAGAAATTTGAAAACATGACCACACTGGGAGTGGACTGGTTCACTCCAGTAAATACATTCCCTGATCACTACCTTTAGAAGTGAACCAGTCCATCCCAGCATTAGATCAAACACTGGGATAAACACCTGTGTAGTCACCCCCTTCCCCTTAATGGATCACTGCCTTGTAGTGGCGAAGGGGCTTTAGAGAAGCTATGGGCTATG